AGGTCAATTATTTTTTCCTCTTCAAAAAATAAAAAGGAGCCGGAGTCGCCCCCTTTTTTGGCGGCTCCGGCTCCGGCTCCGGCTCCGGGCTATATTGTTTCACGGCTCCGGCTCCGGCTCCGGCTCCGGGCAAAATATGCCGGCTCCGGCGGCTCCGGCTCCGACTCCGGCTCCGGCTCCGCATCCCTGCAAAAGACCTTTGACTTGTGACCTGTTTTCCGAGACCATGTTTGGCCGGAATCGCGTTTTGGCGTATTTCGAGTAGAGCGCGTTTTATTGTCTTTTTAGCTTGCGATCAAACATGTGAAAGGAGGTTGATCCCATGGATTCTAGTGGGTGTCAAGGTCACGTGAAGGTCAGTCAGGTCACTGACCTTTGATGACCTTTGTTCACTCTTTCGAGTTCTACATGTTTCTAGGGTAGATTTTGGAGTTGATTTCGCATTTAGAAACCGTTTGAGCATTTAATAAGTAGTTTTGGTTCCCTCGTAACATGTGACCTGACCAGACCTGACCCGACCTGGCCTAAATGCACGAAAACATCATCTGTGATCAAAACTAACTTGAAATTCGTGGTCAGCACCCCGCAAAACCCTATAACAGCTTCACTTTACGAAGCTCTAACAGGTCCCGATTCCCCGACTTTTTGACCTGTCAACCAATGACCTATGACCTTAAAATTGGGTATCATCGGCCTCCTCTCGTCACGGGAAACACGCTCTTTTTCCGCGAAGCTCTAGCTCGATCAGGGGCTGAACGGCAAAGGGGTCCAACGGACCCTCCCCCCCTTTACGATAGACGCTGGCAAAACACCAATATGGGCGAGGGTGAAAATACAGCTGCTGTCATAAAAATTCACCTTGAATCAAAGGTCAGGCTTGCCAAATTTCAGCTCTCGCAGCTATCAACAAAAATAAACATGTGGAGGCGGCACCCGCCTCCCCCCCTCTCCTCTCGGCCACTGCCAGCGAGGTTTTAGGCGTATCATACACGTTACAAAGCATCATATCAAGATGACACACCCCAGCAGCCATATGCACTGAACAAAAACTTATTACCCTCGCTAGTCTATCGGCACCATAGCACATGGTCGAGACTGTCGTCAGCCACGGACGCGCACTCGACCAACCCTCTGAGCCCGTTGACTGCGGGTGACCTTGACATGTCAAGCCTGATCGGCGGCCGGCCGCTGTCGTGCGGTCGTTACACGCGAGGGGAGGGAGACACAAAGCTCTACGTTATAGCTGACCTCTGACCTTTCCCTGCGCTCTGGTCACTGACCCCGCTCCATGTCGCTGGGCGGTGGCATGGCGGTGGAAACCGGTTCTAGCCTCTACACATGCCACCATTCTAACCCTCCCCTCCCCACGCTACTACGCGGCGTGGAGTACGCTCGTGCGTAACTGGGCGGAGCAAGGGGTCACGCGATACAGGGGCGGAACTGGTTGCCCTCCCGCTCGCCGAGCGACCAACGACTAATACCCTGGAGAACCGTACAGTCTGTCTTAAAAGTACCGCGCAAAGTGACGGTGGATCCATCGAGCCTCACTGAGGAAGGGCCTGCTAAATTTTGGTCACCGAAGCAATTGGCATCCTCGTCCATTCCCTAGGTCAATTGGTCGGTGACTTTCAAATTAAAGCAGGCCCTTTCTCGGTCAGGCTTGATGGATCCACCGTCACTTTGCGCGGTACTTTTAAGACAGACTGTACAGTCTGTCTTAAAAGTACCGCGCAAAGTGACGGTGGATCCATCAAGCCTGACCGATGAAGGACTGCTAGATTTGAGTCACCGGACACCGAAGCAACGAACACCCTTGTCCATTCCCCAAGGTCAATTGGTTCGGTGACTTTCAAATAATAGCAGGCCCTTCCTCGGTCAGGCTTGATGGATCCACCGTCACTTTGCGCGGTACTTTTAAGACAGACTGTACAATCGCGTAGGTCGACGCGGCTGGCACTACAAGTCCACCACTGTCACGGACACTGACTAGTCCAAGAGCTTCTCGTGGCGGAGGGTCATCGTCGTTAGAGAGCAGCGCGTCAAAATTGCAATGGTGTAATATTAGTTGAATCTCACTCACACCCATCACAACCCATCACTCACCGCAGTCTCTCCGGAGGCAGAGGAGTGGAGGCCACGTCCGCGAGTTGGCGCTGCACTCCGGACTGCGGCTGGCTGCTCCCTGGGCTGTCCAGGATGGCGTCTGACCCTGGCTCGTCAGCATCCGACCGAGGACTGAAACAGGGCACGCCAAATTTAGTGAAAAGGCTCATAACAGTGTCAAATGCCAACATTGTGGTTTCCTTGAAAGGTGTAATTGATATAGTCATGAGTATTATTGAAACATCTGGACATTTCCCTAGTCCAGTGATACAGAGGCCAGCTTGGGCACCTTATTACCAAGTTTCATAATTACAGTGATTACTGACTGATTACCGAACGGCATCCTCAGGTACACTCGGGGGCAGATTGATGTTCCACAACTCCCCACCTATCGGGCTCCCATGGCTCAGCACTGGCTGCTGCCAGTGGCAGCACTGGCAGCACTGGCACTGGCAGGCAGTGCTGACCAGTGCTGAGGGCAGGCAACACTAGCAGCAGCCAGTGCTGAGACATGGGAGCCCGATGGGTAGGGAGTGGTGGAACATCAATCTGCCCCCGAGTGTACCTGCACCTCCCGAGCGGGGGATGTTGAAGGTGGTGAGGAGGAAACTGCCCTCATCAAGCTCCACCGACCAAAAGCCATTTTTGGCGTCTAGCCTGCTGAACACGATGGCACCTGTCAGCTTGTGTGTCAGCTCTTCCAGTTTTGGTGTCTTATGGTGACACCTCTTGATGGCCTTGTTTAAGTCCTTCGAGTCGAGACAGACTCGCAATGATCCGTCACTCTTCTTGATGCAAACAATGCTGCTCACCCATTCGCTGGACTCTCGGACCTTTGTGATGACGCCGGTTTTTTTCTTGTCTTCTAGCTGTGCTTACTGTCATATGCTTGCCTTGGTCCAAAATATTGCAAAGCAAAATAATTTTTAATTGGAGGTTAATAAATGCTCGCGTTAAATACACGAACACGGCGGCCATAATAAATGAATAACAAATTTCAAGTCGTCACAAAAAGGGACGCACACGTCACTCACAACACGGGCGGGTAAATGTGGTTTGACTTAGCGACATCGGCGTACAGGTGCATTGCACTGGCGACAGATCTGCTGAGTATCTGCGTAGCTAGCGTCACCTTCATGCGCGAGAAGGCACCAAGCACGATGAGAGCGTCACAGAGTTTTGGTGCTGCTCTTACAGACCGCTGGCAGTCCTGTTCATAGAATTCTTTGATACGAGTCCAGCTCATCACTCCTTCAGTTGTCTCGATGTCGTGCTTATGGAGGCAGTTCCGGAGGCACTTAAACAAATGGGGTGGATCGTACAGAGCGATGACAGACTCGCCATCCACGTCAAAGTAGGGCCGTTCTATGGTCACACCCAGCCTTTTCTTGATGAGCTCTTGATTGGGTTTCCCATATCACACACAGTACCCACCACTCAAGCCAGCCGTTCGGAGTTTGCGAACGCACGTCTTTAACTGTTCCTCAAACACAGCTCTTTCTATGATCCGTGATAACACATACTCTGCCGCGATTTGTCGGCAGGGTCCTGACAGCGGTGACAGACTGCTGGGCTGGCGGCGGGCTCATGCAAAACATTACCTACGCACTTCTTATACGCGAGTGTCCGGAAACACAACAGCCGTGCATCATCACGAACAGCCGAAAGGAAGCTCAAACTGAAGCTCTAAGTTCGCACGAGGTAATGTATCCCCGACACGCCAAACATGCGCGACATTGCTCAAGTCACGTACAGTCGTAGCCGTCCAGATGAGCCGGACGAAGCCCCTGCCGGTGAGGCTGCACGCGCAGGGGATGAGCGGTTAGACCCTCTGGAGACACGAAGTAGTCGGCAAGGCGATCTCTTGTGTTCCCGGCACGAACTGTGTTGCTGTTGGAGCCCATTCTTCCGCCGCCCCGCAGCCCGCTGCCTAATCTCTGCTGACGCCAGGCGCCCCAGTTTGGAGTCGGCCTGTCGAGTCCTCGCCATCTGCCTCGCCGGGGCAGATGTAGCGGCTTTCGTTAAAGACCCGATCCCATCGACGCAGACAGCTGTCCGTGCATTACGCAGGTACTATTAACAATGGCGTCAACTGTGTTCAGCTTTGCATTTATCGGTTGCCGAAAAATGCGGAATTTCGACACGATACCAGAGGTATTTTCTACAACCCTGCCAGCGCGATTGAGCCTGTAATTGAAATTGTTTTACACACTCAGTTGAAATGTCACGAATGCATATGGGAGCTCGCCGGGCTCAGCCACGGGAATATCCAGCGAGCCCTCCACTAGTCGTTGTCCAGGGGAATACTCGCTGAATATAGTTCCGCCGTGCTCGCCACCATGGACAACCATGCTCACGTACGCGAACTTGTAGTCAGCGTCCGCCACAGCCAAAGGGATAATTGGGTTATTAACAGTTACAGCGTTATATTGCATCACCCTGCTTGTCATGTTGAATGTAAACCAAGGGAAATGAAACAATTCACCTAGACATCGAGGGAAGTTCCATCTTTGTCCATTTCTTGAGCCATCTCCAACCAGCGCCTTGTCTGGCGTTGCGAGCTCTCTTGGTCCCAGCACATCCCATATAGCTGTGCACACATCTGATATGATCCCAGACACTGTTGATATTCCAGTACGGAAATACCCCTCAACATCCTTCATTCACATGCCTGAAGCCAAGTACCTACATGAAACGTGAGTCATTGTTTACTAACTGAATGTGTGTGCTGTATGGTAGGTATCTACCAAACAGTGTATGTGCAGCAAATGCTAGACATGAAGTAACACCAATCGCAAAGGGCTGTTCAATCCATAAATAAGTCCAAGACCCTTACCACCTGTTACCTTAAATCGGTTTTACTACAAACGTATACGGTATACAATGACAAACAAAAATCATTTCATCAAGAAGCGTTACATACCTCAAATGCGTGCTCGTAGACAGCCTGCTCCTTGCTTGGCAGCAAAATGAATACCGCCGGGAAAATTAGGCCGTAGCGCTCACAGTGAATTGAATACAGCTGTGCGAACACTTTCAGGACACTTTTCAAAGTTCCATCACCGTACCAGCTTGCGCTCATCGCCAGATCGGCGAGAGAGTGGTCCGTGTCGAAAACAAGCACCCTTCCGCCCGCGAACATCTTCTCCCGGCTGTCGTGCAGACAGAAGGAACCATTCCTCAGGCCATCCCACTCTTGCGACGGTTTTTCTTTGGTCCTCACGCACCTCGACGTCTTCTGCTGTGACGGGGTCCGCATGAGCGCCTATCTCTGCTTGGCGGTACTTGCGAAGATTCCGGGCCAGATCGGCTGCACGCGGGGACACCGACAGCGCGGCAGCAGACAATTGGCGTTCCGCAGTGACTAGGATCTCGTGCACTGGCTCACACGTTGCTTGTGCCTTCCTCCACACAGTTGCTATTCAACTCTAGATAACTTACCTCAGTCCCAGATCTACGACCTTGCCGTACAGCGCCTTGCTCAGGTTGAAGTGGCAGGTCGTCATGTTCTTGGCCGGGAACGCTTTTTGCAGCGCGTTCATCGCTCCTCGCTCCAGATCAGTCATAACATTGCCACCTTGTGCCGCTGGTGCGAGACGAAGCATGTTGTCCAGCACAACCTGCATGGAGAAAAGAATTGTTATTACCGATGCGAATTTCAAAGTGCGTGGGCCGGGCGTGTGGCTCAATTTTTGGCCCCTGGGGGGCTGACGGCATGCCTGAGCTGACAAGACTCAGTGCCGAAACCAGCTAAGATAATGCGTTGAAGAGATAGTCTCGTTGGGCTCAATGCCGGGCTTGAGTGAGTGGGTGGGGGAGGGGGTCAAAGCAGAAGGTAATTTGAAATGTCCAGGCAGTAGGCACACACGAGAGCTGAGCGCGATGGCGATCGCCGATCATCCACGCCCAGCTTGTTGAACCACATTGTACGAGTTCGCAATCTGGTCAAAGCTAGGGCAGCTTGGTTAACAACTAAATCGGCTTTAATACAAACGTATACGGCATTTTCTTAAAACCAACGTTACAGACATTCGCCGCCAGCCGTACATGTATTGTCGTTCTTTATCCCCAGAAAGGTAACCTGCCAGGGTACCATCTGAACGGAACTGAAGCTGATCAGTGGACAGCACAAACGGCGACGTTACCCCCGAGCCTGCATCGAACCTCATCGACAGGGGGGCAATATCTGAGGGCCGCAACATCAGCGCGATAGCTAGCAGACATATCGCCTTCAACCGGAGCAACTTCAACGGTAGCGACTCGTTCACAGCCCACGACTCAAACAGACGAACAAAGGCTGATACATCCATCACGGACGACCGTGTCATGGGTGCCCGTGTGCCGCTTTTCACAATGGCCTGAGACAGACGCACGAGAAGGGGATCGTGGAGTGGGTTGGCTACTCCCATCACCTCGTACAGTGCAGCCAAGGCTGCTGACATGCAGCGTAACGTAGAGTGGGGTCTGTCAGACACACTGCACTCGCCTACCAGGAAATCAGCCACTACCGCGCCATCTACCGGTGGAAAAATCAATTCACGTATTCTACAAAATTCCTTAAACTTACAGATGTACCTGTCATAATTCGCGTGAGTGGAATGAGCCAAACACAGAGGGAACTGCTCACGTGCAGCAGGAGACCAGCCGAGCGCCTCTAACCGGGCTCTCCAGAGATCCGCCAGGCGAACAGAGTCCACCGTCTGTTGCGGTGCGGCTCTATCTGCTGGTGCGGTAGCAGTGGAATACAGGCCTGCGTCACAGGCGGCAGCCGCAGCGGCGGGCAGACGCTGAGCCGCCGCAGCCGCTCCATCCATGGCTGGCCTGGCCACATCGGGGCAATCAGCGTGGCCTCGGCACGCTGCGCCTGCACCGCGTCCAGCACACGTGCGACCAGCCGGAAGGGCGGGTTTATGAAGTTGTTGTGCTGTTGCCAATCGTTCTGACCCAGAGCGTCCACACCAGCGGTACCGGGGTCCCTGAAGCGGCTGTTGTAGACCGGTAGCAACGCCGTAGACAGGGAGGCGAACCGGTCGATCGTGTGCGGGCCGAACATGCGCTCCAACTGCTGGAACACAGCCGGATGGAGTGTCCACTCGTGACGCAGCGGAATACGTGACAGCTCATCGGGGTCTACATTTAAATATCCTGCAATGTGGTGCGCAACCAGCATGACCTGATGCTCAAAAGCAAACTCCCAAATATTCTGAGCGATGGCGTCCAGGCGACGATCAGCTGACCCAAGCTTGTTAATGAGCGCGACTACCGTGATATTATCGGACAATATCTCGACGGTTTTGCCACGAAGCGTAGAACAAAATGACAGTAAGGCAAAATAAACAGCTAGTAACTCGCGAAAATTGGACGTTTCTGCGCTCACCTCTGGCCGCCAGAAACCCGAGGCGGTTTGAGCGACCGGGGTGGAAAGTGTCGCTCCCCAGCCAGTCTCGGACGCGTCGGTGGAGAGCTGCAAGTCGCAGCTGGCCGGCGGCACCAGCAGCCGGCCGTTCCACCCGTCCAGCGATGTAAGCCACCACGCCAGATCCTCTCTGGCCTCGGGCGACCACGGCATTGCCTCGTCCCAAGACATCCTAGAATTCAACAGACGGTAAATGTTCCGCAACTTCAGCTTGGCCGGGAACACCGCTGCCATCATACTGATACACCTACCCGCGATGCGAGCCAGCAGACGCGCCGACACAGTGGGCCGCTTTAACATCCTACCTATATCCTGCTTCAGCTTCGACACTTTGCATTTAGGCACAGTAATGAACGGCAATTCACCCTCGGACGCACAGTGCACATCGAAACCCAAATAAGACACAACATTTGACGGCTCCAAACACGACTTCTCCCAGTTGACACACAATCCTAATGAAGCTAAAGTATCTAAAAATATTTTCACGTCACTGGCCATTCTATTCTTCGTTGACGTCAATAAAAAATCATCTACGTAGGCCATGACCGACAGGCGTTCGGTCCCTCTCATATACTCTATGACCACCCGAATACATTTGTGGAAATAGTACGGGCTAGCCACCAAACCAAATGGTAGAAAACACCATACATACCAGCATCCACCATACTGGAAACCCAGATACGTTCTGAACTCTTCACGGACAGGGAAATGATAAAATCCGTCCTTTAAATCTACAGTGACCGCCAGCTCACCACCTCTCATAACCTCTGGCAGGACAGAAACACCTTCTGACGAAAAATGTGGCACATCACAGTGAGAATTCACATATCTCAAGTCACAAATGAGGCGATATTTGGAATTTTTCTTTGGAACAACCTTCAAAGGTGAGACACAATGCGGCACGTCAGCTACTTTTTCTATAACACCTCTCTTTTCTAGCGCCATCAGCTCAGTTTCCAAAAACTTTTTCTCTGGTTCATTAAAACAGGGATTTTCAAAGACACGGGGCTCTGGAATGTCACGCACAGGCACCGGCACACCATTCATAATCCAGTCCAGAACTGCATCAGGCGCCCCAATGCGCACCCACTCGTCCTTATGCAGCGGCATAATTCCCCTCACAACTCACGTGATGGTTTACTCAGCTGAGAATGTCCCTGTGACGTCATCCGGCTGCTGCGCTCGGGCGGCCAGGTCACGAGGCCCGGGTGCGTACCCGAACCGCCCGCGGCGGAACCTCCAGTCAGCTGATCCGGAGCCCGAGCCCGCCGCGCCGCCGCCGGGTCGCTGACCCGCCGCGTCCAGGCGGTAGCCTCTGCCCGGACCGCCAGAAGCGAACGGGAAGAATGAGCCCCGCCCGCGGAACCTTCCAGAGCCACTGACCTGCCGGTTGTGTCGCGCTCCGGCGATGGACACGGCTCGCTGCAGATTTTCCAGCGCCCCCGGCGTGAAAGCTGCCGGGTTCTGCTGCAGCGTCTGGAACAGCCTGGTCGTCCCGTCATCAAACTGGTTCGCCACCAGCAGGTTGGTGTACTCTTCTTGCAGGTACCGGAGTTGTGCGATAGCTATAGTCGATAGTTCAGAGAGGACGGGCTCTCTGCTTGTACACTGAGAGAGCAGTTTCAATACGGTCTCCTGATACCGCGCACACTTCTGAATGACCTGGAACTTCGGCCAGTCAGCCTTGCTGACGCCTGCTCTTGAATCACCGACCACCAAGTCCGGTGGTAGTCTGACCTTCGCCAGACTTTCGCGAATGCTCTTAAAGTCTGTCTGCAGATCACTGCCCGCGCCCACTTCAGACTCACCGAGCGGCTGCGGCTGAGTGTCTGCGCATTCTTGAGTGTCGACCAGCCGACGACCGGCGGTGTCGGTCTTCAAATGTTCACTGATTGCAGCCACTGAGCTTTCCAACTTGTCAAACCTCTCAAGAAGGTTGTTGAACCGTTCCTCCATGAGGAAACAAGCCGCCTCGAAATACCGGCGGCTCGCGCAACACGGAGCGTCGCGGCTCGTGCGGAGCACCAACGCAGACTGACCCCGCCCGCGACCTCGGTCACGGGCCGGGGTCAGCCCCTGGCGGCGAATGTCGTAACTACGGACAATGACAAAAAAAATCGTTTTATCAAGAAGCGTTACATACCTCAAATGCGTGTTCGTAGACAGCCTGCTCCTTGCTCGGCAGCAGAACGAATACCGCCGGGAAAATTAGGCCGTAGCGCTCACAGTGAGTTTGAGTACAGCTGTGCGAACACTTTGGGTACACTTGAAAGTTCCATCACCGTACCAACTTGCCAGATCGGTGAGAGAGCGGTCCGTGGCGAAAACAAGCACCCTTCCGCCCTCGAACATCGTTTCCCGGCTGTCGTGCAGAAGGAACCGTTCCTCAGGTCTTTCCACTCTTGCGACGGTTTTTCTTTGGTCCTCACGAGTCACGCACCTCGACGTCCTCTGCTGTGGCAGGGTCCGCATGAGCGCCCGTCACTGCTTGGCGGTACCTGCGGAGATTCCGGGCCAGATCGGCTGCACGCGGGGACACCGACAGCGCGGCAGCGGACAATTGACGTTCCGCAGTGACTAGGATCTCGTGCACTGGCTCACACGTTGCTTGTGCCTTCCGTTTCACCGTTGCTTTTCAACTCTAGATAACTTACCTTCAGTCCGAGATCTACGACCTTGCCGTATAGCGCCTTGCTCAGGTTGAAGTGACAGGTCGTCATGTTCTTGGCCGGGAACGCTTTTTGCAGCGCGTTCATCGCTCCTCGCTCCAGATCAGTCATAACATTGCCACCTTGTGCTGCTGGTGCGAGACGAAGCATGTTGTCCAGCACAACCTGCATGGAGAAAAGAGTTGTTATTACTGATGCGAATTTCAAAGCCCATGGGCCGGGCGTGTGGCTCAATTTTTTGCCCCTCGGGGCTGACGGCATGCCTGAGCTGACAAGACTCAGTGCCGAAACCAGCTAGTATAATGCGTTGAAGAGATAGCCTCGTTGGGCTCAATGCCGGGCTTGAGTGAGTGGGTGGGGGGGAGGGGGTCAAAGCAGAAGGTAATTTGAAATGTCCAGGCAGTAGGCACACACGAGAGCTGAGCGCGATGGCGATCGCCGATCATCCACGCCCAGCTTGTTGAACCACATTGTACGAGTTCGCAATCTGGTCAAAGCTAGGGCAGCTTGGTTAACAACTAAATCGGCTTTAATACAAACGTATACGGCATACAATGACAAAAAAATCGTTTTATCAAGAAGCGTTACATACCTCAAATGCGTGTTCGTAGACAGCCTGCTCCTTGCTCGGCAGCAGAACGAATACCGCCGGGAAAATTAGGCCGTAGCGCTCACTGTGAGTTTGAGTACAGCTGTGCGAACACTTTGGGTACACTTGAAAGTTCCATCACCGTACCAACTTGCCAGATCGGTGAGAGAGCGGTCCGTGGCGAAAACAAGCACCCTTCCGCCCACGAACATCTTCTCCCGGCTGTCGTGCAGAAGGAACCGTTCCTCAGGCCATCCCACTCTTGCGATGGTTTTTCTTTGGTCCTCACGCACCTCGACGTCCTCTGCTGTGACAGGGTCCGCATGAGCGCCTGTCTCTGCTTGGCAGTACCTGCGGACGTTCCGGGCCAGATCGGCTGCGCGCGGGGACACCGACCTTATAGTGAGAGTGAGACGTTCCGCAGGCGGGATTGAAAGTCGGTAGTTTGTGTTCTGCCTCTCCAGCTTTGGAGTTAGAGCAACTAGAAGCTCTTCAAATCTATCTAGGGACCATTCTGAATGCGGAGTAGAACTCGTGTGGATTTTCACGTTCTGCAATGGCCATCGCATGATACTCTCCACAGCACTGTCGTCCCAGAAGCGCCTCTCGCCCGCTCTGACCGAAAAGCTTTGCGCCAACGACCAGAAGTCCCAAAATTAATAAATTGTTATCACCCATGATAAGTGAGGTCGAGCCGATCCGAGGCATTGCTTCGACATTCTCAGCTAATCCATGTAACATGTTTGTGTTTCGTGGCGTAACGTGGTCTCAAATCCCCGCACCCCGCCTGTCCGTGATGAGTCGGTCCTTATACATACCTCTAGCTGAAAGACACCACAGTCAAAGACAACGCCAAGTTAATCAATGTATTCGTCCGTGACGCGGCGGCATGGGCGCGTCACGGACGGAGGCGGGCCGGATCGTAGCCCGTCAAGGCGTGCGGTGGTGCGGCTCGTTGATGGCAATGCAGGCGCGCCAGACGTCCAGCCGGGGTCCTCGGATGTACCGCCGGTACCAACCTCCCTGCCACCGGCCGGATGCGCGGATCCCCTGGTCGGTAGCCCTGGCAGCGGCTGCGGTGGTCGACCCAGGGTCAGTCGGGACGGTCGCGACGCCGGCAAGGGATACTGGCGAGCTGGGTGCGGACCGCGGCATAGGCTGCATGCATGTTGTCTCCAGCAGCGGTCTCCGCTCGAGCAGCCGCTGCGGTTGTAGCGGAGGCACACCTCGTTTGGGGGAGCGGGTCGGCCCTGGCGCTGCTGTGTCGGTCCCGGGAGGCGACCATCGGGGGCGGCGGTTGCAGTCACCGCATTCCCGACGAGGCCCGTGCTGTCGTTTTTTTTTTTTTTTTTTTTGAATTTTGCATCCCCGCTAGCACAAGGCTATAGCAGGGGAAGGGAAGTTACTTGCTGGCAATTAGCCAGATCTTTTGTTTTACGTTAAGTTAATTGCCGGCTATTTTATTCCGGCCCAAGAGGCAAAGCAAAGACAAACTTTACGTTAGACCGGCTCATGTGGCGTCCGGTGGGTTGCAAAACAAAGGGAAGGCCGAAAAGGTGCCAGACAGGCGAGACCGATAAATTTGGTTACTTACATAGAGATTGCTGTTGAGACTTGCTGCTGTTTTGTGTGCTGTTGTTTGGTGTGTGTGTTGTTGTTGTGGGGTGAACTTTTACCAGGAAAAGTCCTAACTAGAAAAAACCTGGTGCCTAACCAAGAGGGCAAAAACCTGTGCTTTCAGCCAAAGTACACAGTAAAAAAGCCCTTTCTTTAATTACGTTATGTTACGTTACGTTATATCGCTAATGTGTATGTGTGTTTGTGGAGCTATCACCTTCATCCACTCCCGGGGGCCATGGATGCAAGCCACCTAGGCCGCGCCCGGGGTGTCCGGCCAGATAGCTTTAGTGTCTCGAGTGGGCCTCAACCTTTAGGAGGGATCCCTGTCGAGCTTACACACATATATATATACACTTGGAAAAGGCGACCCGTGTGTAGGCAAAGGAGAACGAAAGCGAATGGAGGCAAAAACGAAGCGGATGGAAACGACGATGGAAGATCAAAGGACATCTATATACTGTGTGCAAGGTTGCGATCATATGCTATTGATGAGATTCGAATCACTGAGGAAGGTAAAGAGAAGTTCAATTAGATCTGGATGATCATCACCCAGGAGAGTTGGAAGGTCCAGGTTGAGGTTGTGTGTGTTTGTGTAGTGAATGATGTGTTGACGGTGTTGGTCGTAGTGTGGGCAGTTGAGAAGGAGGTGGGCAATGTTGAGTCGGGTGTGTGCGGCGCAGTGTGGACAGCTCGGGGGTGGCTCATTTTTTATGATAAAATCATGTGTTATCTTTGTGTGTCCTAGCCTCAATCTGGCTAGAACTATTTCCTTGAGTCGATTATCTTGATTAGAGGATGTGAAGTTACCAATTTGCGGGTGGATTTCAAAGAGATGATCGTAGGGAAGGGCCTGCCAGTCATACTGGCGCAGGTCTCGGAATGTGTGATTGAGGTGCGAAAGGATGTCTTGGTGTGTACAGCGATCTTCTTTACGATTAGAGAGATTAAGGCTTTGTTTGGCAAGCTCGTCGGCTTTTATGTTTCCCGGGATGCCACTATGTCCCGGGATCCATAGAAGTCTGATGTTGTATCCTATCTTGTTTAGGTTAATTATGTTCTTCTTAATCAGGTATACAATGTGGTGGTCGGTTTGATTCTGTGATTTGATTGCCGAAAGTGATGAGGCAGAATCAGTGCAGATCACGCTGTTCTTAACTTTTTTCTTTTTGATGTGATTGATAGCATGAAGTATAGCCGCAAGCTCGGCTGAAAAGATAGAGAAAATATCCGGAAGACGACTTGATTTTCTATAATGGGTAGAGAAGACTCCTGCTCCCGATTTGCCGTTCATGACAGATCCGTCAGTGAAGTAGAATGTTGTTTGTTGATGTGTGTGGCAATATTCGAGAAAGAGTTGATTTACTTCTGTTACTGTTACTCTATCTTTTTTCTCCTTGAAGAGGTATTCAATATTATCTATGCGATCAAGGTAAGCTGATGTTATAGGGGGAATTGGCAATATGGTTGGAATGGTTATTTGAAAGTGATCAATTACTTTCTGGAGGCGACGAGAGATCAGTGGATAGCGACGCTGATTTGTGAGTGGCGCATACGATTGGGTGTTTGTGAGAATTTGGTAGGCGATATCATCCGGGCGGGAGGCACATCGTATATAATAGCGCAGCAGTAGAAATTTGCGGCGCCTGTCAAGTGTGGGTATGTTTGTGTCTATGTGTAGGGCTGTTATTCTCGTAGTGCGTAGGGCACCAGTGATGATTCTGAGTGCATGATTCTGTATTGTTTGCAATTTATCAATACGGCTCGAAGCTATATCATCGTATAAGAAACTGTTATAATCCAAGATTGGACGAATTAGGGTTACGTAGAGTCGAGTGAGAGTGCGTCGGTCCGCACCCCACTCTCTGCCTGCGATGCATTTCATAATGTT